ATTTACATAATGGAATACTACTCAGCTATTAAAACAAGGAAATCATGAAATCTGCAAGCAAATGGATGGAAATAGAAAATATCCTGAGTGAGGTAACACAGAAAGACACACATGGTATATGCTCACTTTTTAAATTTAATTTTATTTATGTATTTATTTATTACAGTTTATTCACTTTGAATCCCTGCTGCACTCCTCCCTTGTTTCCTCCCAGTCCCACACTCTCTCCCTCTTCTTCCCCTATGCCCTTTTCCTAGTCCTCCTGATAGGGGAGGACCTCCTCCCCTTCTCTCTGACCCTAGCTTATCAGCTCTCATCAGGACTAGCTGCATCATCTTCCTCTGTGGCCAGGCAAGGCTGCACCCTCCCCCGGGGGAGGTGATGAAAGAGCCCACCACTGAATTCATGTCAGTCAGCACCTGTACCCCTTACTAGTAAACCCACTTGGAAACAGTGGGTTTCCTTTTGAACAGGGGGTCTAGGTCCTCTCCATGCATGGTCCTTGGTTGGAGTATTGGTGCCTGCAAGCCCCGCCCCTGGATCCAGGTATTTTGTCTCTGTTGTTCTCCTTGTGGAGATCCTGACTCCTCCATGTCTTTCTATCTCCCTCTTCTTCCATAAGGATTCTGGTATTCTGATCAAAGTTTGACTATGAATCTCTGTATCTTCTTCAATACCCTGGTGGGTAGAGTCTTTTAGAGGCTGTCTGTGGAAGGCTCCTGTCCTGTTCCTTGTCTTCTACTTCTGATGTCTATCCTGTCTGCCCTTCTGAATGAGGATTAAGCATCTTCCTAGGGTCCTCCTTGTTGTTTAGCTTCTTTAGGGCTATAGAGTTTATTATGCTTATCCTATATTATATGACTAATATCCACTTACAAGTGAGCATATATCATGCGTCTTTCTGCTTCTGGGTTACCTCACTCAGGAACCCTCCTCCACTGCTGGTGGGAATGTAACCATGTACAACCACTTTGGAAATCAATCTGTTACTTTTTTGGAAAATTGTGAAGAGTGCTACTTCAAGATTCAGCTATACCACTCCTAGCCATATACTCAAAAGATGCCCCACCATTCATTAAGGACATTTGCTCAACTATGTTCATAGCAGCTTTATTTGTAATTGCCAGAATCTGAAAACAACCAAGTAGTCCCTCAATAGAGGAATGGATACAGAAAGTGTGGTACATTTACCCAATAGAATACTACTCAGCAATTAAAAACAAGGAAATCATGAAATTTGCAGTCAAATGGTGGTATATACTCACTTTTAAGAGGATTTTAGTCATATAGTACAGGATAGACATACTACAGTGCACAAACCCCAAGAAGAAAAGTCCAATGGGCATCTTAGGCTTCATGTCGGCCCACTAGTTTAGGGGAGTTGGGTATATCTCTGACATAGACTATGTTGCCTGCTTTTTGATCACTTCTGCCTAATGGGTCTTTTGTAGCAGGTCACAGGGGAAGAAGAGAAACTCAGTCCTCTTGTGAATAGATGAGCTGTGGTGGCTGGATAGTGGGGCTCCCCCATTCTCAGAAATAGGATAGAGGGGATGTGGGAAGGAGGGTGGGACTGGGAGGAGAAGAGGGAGGGGTCTATGACTGATATGTAAATTGGTTTAATTAAAATGTGCTAATTCTGACTTTTCATGCCAGACACTGTCTATACCTGAGTTCACTTAATCTGCACCCCTGCTCTTTGGGGCAGCAATTAATAGTCCTAGTGTATAAATAGAAACCGAAAAGTAAGTGAATTAACTGTAGTTCACACAGCCAATAAGCAGAGGCATCAGGATGAAATTCTACACGTTCCTTCATGCCTCAGCTGCTTCCAGCTGTGTGATATGGCCTATTTATATTTTGTCCTTTGATTTTCTTTTCTAACGGGTGTCAAAAACTATGCTTTACTTTTCCATGGATTCATTGGCCAGTTATAAAGCCTCACTTCTCCAGATTTTCTGCCTGCCCGCTTGCCTGACATGTAGAATTAGTGTTGTAAGACCCATGGAGCTGTAAAATCCTCAGGCTGCTTTGCTAATTGTCTCCAGGCAGCACCTGCTTGCAACAGGCAGAAAATCAAGAAATTGTTTAAACATATTCTTCTTTAAAGAAAATAAATCTTTGTAGGTTTGTTTTCACAGAGGATATTTTTAATGTCTGAAAACTACACAGAATGAAATGAACATAAATATCTTAAATTATATCTTTAACTACCATAAAAAATGTTAGATCCTAGAGCTGGAGAGATAGCTCAGTGGATAAAAGTACTTGCTGTTCTTCCAAAGGATGCCTCCATCCGCTCCCAGCACCCACATGGGTGCTCACAACCATTTCTAACTAATCTTCCAAGAGATCCATCATCTCCCCTTTCTGGCCTCTGTCAGCACTGGACACACTAGCACACACGCAGATAGAACATTTATACACATTTTTAAATGTTAGATCCATGGAATTTTATATCAAGAAATGTAAAACATATCTGTACTCCATTCCTAACCATAGTTTGTTTTTAAGTTATACAAATGAAAAGAGAGTGATGGTCATTTTATTTTATTTTATTTTATTTTATTTTATTTTATTTTATTTTATTTTATTTTATTTTATTTATGTATGAGTGTTCTGTGTGCATATATGGTGCGTGCCAGAAAAGGGCATAAGATCGGGTTAGAGATGGTTGTGAGCTACCATGTGGTTGCTGGGAATTGAACTCAGGACCTCTGAAAGAACAGTAGGTGCTCTTAACCACTGAACCATCTCTCCCCACCACAATTAATCCTTTAGTGTATCCCTATTTTATTATTCCCAAGTGTATAAATTGCCTTCTTTTTTTGTTCCTTTGTTTGGTAAGCCCAGTCTAGCCTTGGGTTCCTGTGATCCTGCTGCCTCAGCCTTCTCCTGAGTCCTAGGATAATAAGCACATACCACCACATCTAGGTTTTTTAAACCTTTGGGTTAAATTATGAAAAATGAGACAGGAAGATAGGAATGAGGCCTTGTCTCAAACAGTAAAAGCAGATAGCATTGTTTGTTCTTTGTCTTATGCAGGTATGTGACTACCTTAGCCTGCTGTGGTTCTGTAAAACATTGCAGTAGAAAAACATTAGTGAACTCAACAAAAAAATATTTTGCGTAAACTAATCTACTTGAGATTTTTAGTATTTTTTATGCGTGGATGTTTTCAAATGTATTTTAGAATTTTAATTTCAAAGCTCAACAGAAACAATTTACAATTCATTGAAGTTTTATACAGCAGGAAAAAAAATAGTGTCATTTCCAACATCTCTTAGACATGAAATAGCATCTATCCTAGCACCTCTTAAACAGGAAAGATGAAGTTTAACATTTCACCAGGACCTTGATTTCCAAGACACAAAAATGGGAATTATTGTAGAAATTTGTCTTTACATAATACTTCAAAGACATTGTTCCACATGGTTTGAGATCTTAGAGGAACTGCAAGCATGGCTGCTGAGTGTGCTACTGTTGGAGCATGTGTGAGCCAACAATCAGTTTATAGCCACCTTATTTTACACCACTGCAAGTTTCTCCTAGTTTGCCAGAATTGTTTGGTATTTCAGCTTATGAATTCTCGGGGAGAGAAAAGTAAATGCATTTGTGTGTGTGTGTGTGTGTGTGTGTGTGAGAGAGAGAGAGAGAGAGAGAGAGAGAGAGAGAGAGAGACAGAGGTAGTTTTACCTACCCAAATAATATTCATAAGCTTGAAAACATCTTCTTTTGAGGACATGCTATCAGAATTCTATAGTCAATTATTCATCAGTGAATACCTATCTCCTCATCAAAGATGTTGTTGAAGAAGAAAATTTTCTTTAAAAATTAGAAGCTGGCCCTGGAAAGATGGCTCAGTGGTTAAGATTATTATCTGCTTTTCCAAAGAACCCAGGTTCAATTCCCATCACTCACATGGCAGCTCACAACTGTCTGTAATCCCAACTCCAAGGGATCTGACACCTTCATACCAATGCACAAAAAATAAAATAAAATAAACAGAATAAATCATTTAAAAACAATTAAAGCCACTGGAAGTTCCTCTCCCACACGCTATGACCCGCTCTCATTGCACATGTTCCACATTTCTCTTATTTTTGTTACAAGTTTAAATTCAGGGTTTTTGCATGTGCCTGGGTCAGACTTACATGACCAAATGCACACATATCATAAAGATGTGTACAATAGTTGTATCCTTTGCAACTGAAAAGCTGTGATAAAAGAAGTTAGTATGTGCCCAACATATGACATTATGCAGTAGATGCTTCCTGAGAGAGCATCTGAGTGCCTGTGTAAAAACATGCATGATTCTGTACCCTCTACAAAACCCTACTTTAGAATTAAGTAAGACTAGGAACAAACATTATGGATGCAGGCAAGCATGGAGACTTGAGGTTCTAAGCCCTCCTTAGAACCTTGTAAGACAGTGTTTGGCCAGTGATTGCTATGCAAAGCCACAGTTTAGAAATTTTGCCTTCACAAAACTGTATTTCAACTTTGCATTCATAAAACACTAGCTTTTCATGATTGTCAAAAGTACTTGAATTGAAGTTCAAGGGTTTGGGGCGGTTGTTTTGGTTTTATTGATTTGCTTTTTTTTTTTTTCCAAAACCATGTTTCCTGCTGTAAATTGTCAGAATTCACTTGTTATGAGAACATTTCTTTACATTTCATCACTAAATGTAATCAATATGACTTTGAAAGATTATCTTTGCAGCACTGGATAAGAGAGCTATTTCTATAGTGAGTAAAATACATAATCATAGATGTGTGGAAAATCAAAGTCTTTAAACACAACTGATGATTCAGTATTTATTCCATGCTTTAAATATAATCAGGATGTTGCAAGGAGGCACCATTTTATTCATTTTTTTCAGAGATAGACTGATTAAGTTAAATATTAAATCTAAGATGACATAATGAGCATTGAGTCTGCTTTGCTGTTTATACTAGAAACTACTGTGGTGTATAATTAGAAACCAATGTCTCTGCAGAAACTCGTTTCAGAAGTAAAAGTGCAAATGGAAAACCAGATACATGGTGTCTCTTTTAACATCACTGCCATCTGTCCAGATGGGGCCAGAAAGCCAGGCATAATTGGATGTGGAAACGTGACAAGCAATGACGAAGTATGTGGCAGTGTGTTTTTCTTGTTTAAGATAAACTGTTTGGTGTGCTTTCTCATGAAAAATATCAAACTACTTTAAAACTTTGCTATTAACTATGAGAGTAGTAGCTTTCCTGTAGCTTCTCAAAGTTACTTCTATACTTAATTGACCTCTTAAGTTTTCAAGTTAAAATAAATATATATTGTGTTAAGTACTTATTAAATACTTAGTAGTAATACATTTGTGACACAGTTGTTCTAATGAAAAAATCACCTACTTTCAAACAAGCAGAGTCTGTAGTTGTAACAGTGATAAAGCCTTTTTCATTCAAATCTGTTCATTCTCAGAGTATGAAATTGAAAGATAAAAGCTAAGAATTTCAAAATCTTTCATTTTGTGATGCCCTCAAAAATGACATTAAAAAGTTTGTTAAAAGCAGTCAAATTGGAGGAATGACAGCATTTATATAATAACTAGAAAGAACTGGGATGTCAAAAGGAGAGCCCCAGGACCAGATGAAATGGGTTTCCCCCAAGAACTGCCGCAGCAGAGCGCAGCATGCATGAAGAGCAGGCAGGGTGCTTCTACCATATCCCTCACGTCAATTGCAACTACATGGCCTGGGTGAAAAGGTTCTGAGTCTTTCCTCCATCTTACTCTAAGGTTCTGTACTTCTTTACTTCCGTCCTGTGTTGGGAAGGAGTTTTCAAAGAGATAGAAAGCCCTAAAATTCTAAGACTAATTCAAAGAGGGAACAGAACACTTCTTCCTCTTTAGTTGGAAAATAGTTTTTCCCCATAGGAACATGGAAAGCTGTGGGCAGTGTGCTTGTGCCCACAAGCTGTGTGTCTTTAATTAGTGCAAGCTTCTAATTCTGTACTTTCTTCTATAACTATTTCTTGGATATTGTTCAGAAAATACCGTATACTAGTTTACATAATACACATTTGATTTCTGCTAAAGAAAATTTTTATAGCAAGATAACATTAAGCTAACTTCTATAAGACAAAGCCTTTCAAGACTCTCAAATTTATAATAATGATTTACCTTCCTTCTTACATTTTTTTCTTTCTTTGACTATATCGCCTTTCAACTAAGTAGTATAAACAGTTTGACTCCTGGAAACAGTCAACTAGCCTCTTATTTATAGAAGCCACTGTTGATTTTCTTATTCTAGTTTTAATAGCAGTGACCACATCATCCTACACATCTGTGAATCCTTAAAGTTTTTAGAGGTAAAAAGAATCTGAGCACAAACTGACACCAACCACACTGCTTTTAGTGTGATAAATCCAACTCAAATGCATATGGAAGCCTAAGTGCAGGTCTTTTCTTTCTTGCTATATAACATAGCACACATTATTTTAATGTTGCAGTTTAATTATTATAGTTTATTTCAGTTCAAAACATATATACATATATAACTGTGTGTATAAGCTTTCTGATTTACCAAAGCACCTGAAGATGAAGAGTCAGAAAACATAGATATTAAATCAATCATATTACAGAAAAACAAGGAATTAAGGAACAAGTAGTCCTGGGGGGCGGGGCTGTACGAGGTCTTGCCAGTCCATTCACTGCAACAACAGAGTGGCTCTGTGTTGGCTCTTGACGTTGGAGAGTGAGTCCTAAGCCTCTTTCTTCTGAGTAACATAAGAGACAGTGTCATATTTCTCTCCGCTGACAAGCTCTGTGCTAAAGATCAACTCTGAGCCTTTAACTCGAGCCTCTAGAAAGTAGACTATAAATAGATAAAACAGTCCATGTGAATACCTCAGGGTTCTGAACCAGAAGAGCAAAAGCTTGTTACTTTGGTTTATTAGTTCCTAATGCCAAATGTTCACTAACCCCATATTTCCAATTCAGAAAATAAAACATTGTTTCACCAGTTGTCTATTCAATTATCAAAGGTCATGCAGACGTGTAAGGACAAATGGACATATGGTGATGGTGATTTACAGGCCATAAGCAATTGTTGCTTCCTCTAATTCTAATTAATTTGTTAGGCAAAATGGAAGTAAAAGGCGGTTAGGTACTTTCGTATGAGACTGCATGTGTGATTTATAAATATGGTATCTTTAAGATCTCACTGTTGATTTTATTACTAGATATAGTAGTATCAGTATAAAGGATATAAATATATTTCCCTTTTGCTTTCAAATTTAGGTTATTTTCAATGTAACAGTTATGATGAAAACATGTGATGTCATAGGAGGAAGAAACTATGCAATAATCAAACCTATTGGTTTCAATGAAACCACGAAAGTCCACATACACAGACACTGCGGCTGCCACTGTGAGGATCATAGAGGCCACGAGGGACAGTGTGCAGAAGCTACCCTGGACCCCAAGTGTCCGCAGTGTGATGACAGCACATGTCACTTTGATGAAGACCAGTTTCCTTCTGAGTCTTGCAAGTCACAGGAGGACCAACCTGCCTGCAGTGGCCGAGGCGTTTGTGTCTGTGGGAAATGTTTATGTCACAAAACCAAGCTTGGAAGAGTGTTCGGCAAATACTGTGAAAAGGATGACTTTACTTGTCCATACCACCAGGGGAATGTGTGTGCTGGTGCGTTGATGCATAAGGCAGTTTGAATTCATCATAATGATATTGGCATATACATTAGTGTATATTTAAATCTGATGTTATAAAATTCTGCCACTAAACCCAAAATCAAAGTTCAAAGCCTCATAGTCTAGAAAATTAGGCCATGGCAAGATTACCTTTAGCTGAGTACAGTGGCTATTTTTTTAAATAAAAACCTAAAATTAAATATGAATCTCATGCATTCCAATCTTGGAAAGATTTACACTAGAAAAGGAAGTTACTGGTGATTGCTGACACATTGTCTAGAAGAATGGTGGATATTCTATGAGGGTCTGATTTACTCTGGCAAGTAGTCCTCCTTCTTGCACAGAGGATTTTATTTGTCAGGATGAGGGGAAGTGCGATATAAAAATGTAATTCGACTCACTGGATAATTCTTAAAGCATCACTGTAGACTGTATTTTAAGTTTGAAGTCATTCAAACCTCACCAATTTATTTTTGGAAAATCACCAGCAACAGAGTGGACAAAGGACAGCATTCTTCAGGAAATACTGGCTTGCTAAGTAATCCAGAAGATTCATCCCTCTGGCCAAACAGAGACCAGATTTTGAAATGAAATAGGATAAGATAAAAATATCAAGATTACTTTTGGCTAATTCTGTTCTCTGCCATCTACTGGTTACAGTCCAGAAAAAGAAAACCTATGCAGCACTTGAAAATTAAAACAAAATATAACTTTAAAATAAAGTAACTAGCATTTGAATTCCTTGGTTCTCTATGGAAGGTTAAGTTTGCTTATCATAAAGATCCCTTTCTTGTATGTGCATGTTAGTAAGGAAACATCGGTTTAATTATTGAAAAATGAAAATATGGCATTGTTATAACCATATGAAAATCAAAGCCTATAAAATTTAACTCTCTATTTTTGTATAGGCAGAAAGCTTGTTTTAAATTACAGAGAAAAACACCATTACAAGTATTTTATTCTGTTATATACACAAAAATGCCATGTGTTCTAGACATTCATTCAGCTGTAACTAGATATATGGATAGGAAGGAAATGACTTCAGCATAAACCATCAGTTGTCTATTATATTTTATAAGGAAAGGAATAGTTTATAGGGAAGAAAACAATGAATTTCTGGCAACATTCAATAGAACTGTCTCACAAAACAGTTTCAAATACTTTGAGACTCTGACGTTCTGCTGCATAATCTCAAAAACTGACATATTGACAGTGTCTATATGATTGTGACCACACACCTCACACCCACAGAGGCGAAGGACAATCTGCTTTGGATTGTCTGAGTGCACACTACGAGACTGACATGCATTTCCCCACCACTTTCTCTTGGGAATGAAAAGTCTTGTTCAGAGGTCGGCTGTCTAGGATTCAGGATGCAAGCTGCATCAGGGAATGGGATGTTGCAGACATCTGTTTGCCTGGACCTCATTAGTTGTACACTGAGCAAATTGAGCTGATCCAGCAGTAGGCTCTATGGGACAATTAACTTGTGAGGTATTCAGCAGAAAGAAAAGGGAGAGGAACAGAGAGAGAGAAAGGTAGGAAATAGAGGGGAGGAAGGAAGAAAAGAGGGGAGTATAAGGAGATACAGGGGGTGAACAAGAAAGGAAAAAGGAAGGCTGTTTGATCGACAGTCATAGAAGCTTGAAAATATATAAAATATACACTGCACCTCTTGAAGACTTCTGCTTCGCAACGCCATCTTAAATTTTAGACACTTCTTATAAACTAAAATCCATTTAATAGTGTGTAGCCAAGGTTCTTCTCAAGTTAGTTGTCTGCATAAATGCCCCCCCATTCCTTTCTCTCTTCCATTGTTCCACCTAGTAACAGCTTGTAGCATGGATTAACCCTGCCCTGCTTACCTCCTGCATCGTGTTCCGAGACCAGGGGGATTATTTCCTCGTCTCACAAGACCTATCTTTAATCACGCCTGAATACACAAAAGCGCTACAATGGTTGCCCATCACCATGCAATGTTTTCTTGGGCCCCCAGCAACAAGGAAGAGGGAGGATTGTGGAAGCCAGTGACCAGATACTCCTGCTGTGCTGATTTCCACTCATGGCTTCATTATAGTTACGTGTTTCTAATTTAAAATTTGAAAGCACAATGGCATTTAAGCAGTTGGGCAACCACCAAAGTAGGGGCTTTTTCATACATTTTATGTATATGTCAGTAGGGGGAATTATCTACAATAGAACAGCTTTAAAAACACGCATTCCTAAATCCTGGCACTGCTTTGTCAACACAAGTAGAAACTGAGGCTATTTCCATTCATTGACTGTTGCATGTTTTCATGAAAATGGTAGAGACCTTACCAAGTCAGTGGACCTGTTGACCTTGACCATGGTGTGTCTGTTGCAGGGCATGGGGAGTGTGAAGGCGGCAGATGCCAGTGCTTTAGTGGCTGGGAAGGGGATCGGTGTCAGTGTCCATCATCCGCAGCACAGCGCTGTGTCAACTCTGAGGGCCAGGTCTGCAGTGGAAGAGGCACCTGTGTGTGCGGCAGGTGCCAGTGCACGGACCCCAGGAGCGTTGGCCGGCTCTGTGAGCACAGCCCAACCTGCCCCCTAGCCTGCGGCGGAAACCGGTATGATCCTGTCTGGGGCAGACCGAGCAGTCCTTGCTGACAGCGCTTTCTGTTCTTTATTCTGCCTTCTTCAATCGTAGTTGCTGTGTTCTTAGTTGCTGTCATACAAAGATGGCAATAGTGGTGGCGGTGGTGGTGATAGAGAAAAAAACCTGAGTAGGAAATTCTAAGAATTAGGATACTAACTTTCCATCTTTGGCTAGTGAGTTGCTTTGGGAGGTTCAGAAAAAATCTGCATAAAATCACTACTTGTTTTGTTCTGTTTGTTAAAATGATTTTCTGAAAACAGAGACTGCCAGCTAACATACTGATTACTACTTAGCTGCGTGACGTGCAATAAGTTGCTAAAATTCTCTGTGATCTTGGTTAAAAATAAGGCTAAAAGTACCTTCTTGTAGTTTGTGAAAGAACTACATGATTTTGTAAAGGGAAAGAAAGCAAACTTTAGCATTTGCTGCATGGCAGTCAGTGAGTAAATGGGCTCATTATAACTAGAGTAAAATCTTAGCATTTAACAGAAGGAACTGCAGTTGCTATGGAGCACTCGGGATGCATAAATGGAAAGACGTGTCACATGACAGTGACATTCTTATTTCCGGTTAAAATACTTTCTAATAGCAGTCTGCGACTTGCTCAAAGAACACCTGTGTAAATGTCACTGTGGCTCAAGTTTGCTTGTTTAAGTTTTTAAAACATGCTTTTTCAGATCAGTAACACAAGTAAGAATTTTAGAAATATGCATAGTAAGTTATTTAAATCATTTAGAAATACAGCACTTTGACATAATGGTAGAGTTTGTTTATTTATTTGCTACTGGGGATTGAATTCTGTACTCACATGTGTTGGGCAAGTTCTCTCTCCTGTCACTTTTTTTCTTTTTAACTTTTCAGATAGCTAGTTAGGCTGGCTTGAATTTACTCTGTAGCCCAGGCAGCCCTAAAACATATAATCCTGCCTCAGCCCATCATGTATATGGGCTTACTGGGTTAGGCCACCAGGCCTTGCTGATGGGGTTAGTTTCTAATGGACCTAATGAAAATTTGTGTTGGCTGTTGCTTTGTCGGTCCCTTCTCCCTTTTAAGGAGTCATCCTTTCATATTCCCTGCACAGGAATTGTCTGCAGTGCCTTCACCCTCACAATCTGTCCCGGGCTATCCTTGATCAGTGGGAAACCTCCTGTGCTGTCATGGGCCAACACCGTGTAGACCAAGCCTCAGGTAAGTCTTTTGATGCCTCTGAGGCTGAAGGGGCTGTGATGCACTACTTGCTTCCCGAAAGAAGGGGCAGTGGCTTCATATTGAGTCCATTATAAATTATTGGATTCCTATTTAAACTTACTTTATCACTGTGCCACAGATATTTTACAAAGAAAGCTGAGTTTGTTATCCGTTTTTTCATCTCCCAAAAATGAACAGCGAAGTGGAGAAACTTCCCTTCTCACCCTCACAGTTCTACGTACTGCCTACCTTTACAAAAGACTATACAAATGAATTATCTAGGACTTCCTTGAGCCAAAAGATAGATTTTCTGTGTGAAATAGTTTCTCTAAGAGGTCAGGAGCCATGGTTTTCCTTTATAACCTAAATTTGCTTCTCCTGCTGACCATCCTCATTTCTAGCAAAACTTTATTCTCCATTTTCAGATGAAATCCTACGACTTTAAGTGATCACCTGCTGGTGTCATGTATCTAAGCTTATGACACTGGGGTGCAGCTCCATGGCAAAGCACTTGCCTGGTGTGGGTAAAGGCTGTGTTCAAGCCCCAGAACCACATAAAACTAGACATCATGGGACATAACAGAACTCAGGAGGTAGTGCCCAGAGATCGGAAGTTCAAAGTCAGCCTCCGATACATGAGGAGTTCTATGTAAAATCCTGCCTATTATATTAAAAGGGAAAAAAGAAAAAGAAAATCAGAAAATGAAGAGAAAAAATATATAACTTTGAGGTGAATAATTCTAAATTTGATGCAACTGAAAGAATGTTACTTTTAAGCTAAAGACCTTGGCCTAAAGTGTAGTAAATTAAGAGGCAAAATTTTTCTGAGCCCACACCTCACCTATAAAATAGAGGGTAAAAGGTACATGGAAAGGGTATATGACATTAATTGAGCTAATGAATATAAAAAAGTCTCTCAAGTCAACGGTGATATGTAAACATGAAATATGTGAGAGCTATGTTCAAAACTACTTTTAAACAAAAGTTTATTGGAGCACTCTCCCTCCCCCCAAAGAACCCAAAACCCACTTTGCACCCATTTAAGGTGTAGAAACACCTATGAAATAGAAGCTATTTGAGTCATATCTTTGGAAATATTCCTTTTGATTCTACTATTTAAAGCAATAGAAAAGCCAGCCCCCAGGGAAGTAGCAGGGTAGACACGTCCTGCACATCTTAGTTTCCACATTTCATTTCCTTAGCACACAGTGAATTTGGCTCAGAAAAGCGTCACATGTGCTGCTAGCTGAGGTTGCAGCAACCTCTCCAGAAAGCCAAGTGCCTTTCCAATAAAAAGGACCCCTACATATCATTAATTACGTTAAGTAAACAGTACTCTGACTTAAGTGTTGCTGCAAACAGTATTCCCTGAAAGCTCCTTAGAAAACGCCTTGACTGACCTCAACTAAGAAAAGCATGACTGGGGCAAATGTTGGACCATCCATGATAACATGGTGAAAATGTATGCAGATTTGAACCCTCAAAGGATCCTCTGGCTAACACATTAGTAATATTTCTGAAATGTATCAGTAGCTTCACGGCTTCCCTCCCCTTGACAGCTATTGTGCAAGGAGAGGATAAGGGCATTTGTTAGGCGTCTCAATTATTTGTCCACTCAATCACACTTACAGGGTCTTCTTTCAGTCTTTCTGGCTAAGCTCCCATCAGGCAAAAAGCCAGGAGTGGGATCAAGCCACATCCCCTCTGAGGATCAGCTTAGCTGGTGGAGTAGACTAAGTCAGCCAAGGGACATCACAATCTGTCAAGACATGAGCCATGAGGGTCACTAACCTGCAGGCAGGCAGCTGTAAAAGATCAAATAGCGTCACGTTTGGACACACATTTTGTATTCTCTCCCATGACATCGTTAACAAGGAAGCACTGTACTGTTATTGGCATCTGTTGTTTCCATTCCAGTGAGTAGAAATGGGTGTGTCTTTGACCCCCCAAGGTCTTTTGTCACAAATCACAGAAATGTCTCTATTAAGCCCACCTAGTTGGAAAAAGCCCCTTACCGCCATTGCTGAAAACTTGCCTTGTTTAAGGGGCATGCTGGGTAATTGTTGGGCATTCAGGAGGCCAGAATCAGTTATGACTGGATGCTACTATGCTCATGGCCTTGGTACATCCTCTCTCTAGCGGCTTTTTCAGAGGCACCGTAGCTTGCAAAATGGGTGGAGAAACACATGTTTTGGTCCAGGAAGTGATTTTATGAATCTGGGGCAGCTTGCGAGCTCTGTGGAATACCCACTATTGTGTAACCATGTTCCTCAGAGACTAGAGTAGACCTCAGGCAAGCATAGAGCCTACAAATTTTCCAGTGAGAGTTTGCCAGAGATCTGGTGCTAAATCAAAGGTCTAGCATGCTCCCTATCCTAGCACGGCTTTTCTTTCTTCAGCTAGTGATTATTTGTACTTGGAGGAACACACAATGAATTTGTGGAGGCAAACAGACTGCTTTAGTAAAGTTAATTAGTAATAAGTGAGACAAGAGATTTGGGTATTGTCCAAGATTCAGCACTCCTACTTCTAAGTCATGACTGTAATAATAATGAAATCTTACACCACGGTTTAGAAGAAATATTTCCCTGTTAGAGTAGAACTGTCTTAGCTTCTGCAGATGTTTACCTTATTTTCCATTACTGCTGAGCAAAAGAGGAGGAAGCATAAAAAAGAAGCTAAATGCTTGGGGCTGCTCAGTACTTTTTAATGTTTTCCACATAGTGCTGAACAGCACACACCACTATAGCTCTGCCACTGTTACAAACAAACTTGAACATAGATAAGAGATTTTTACACAGCAAGCTAATATATATAATTTGATTATATATATATATATATATATATATATATATATATATATATATAATCAAATACTTTCATTGTAAATATTCTCCAAAGAAGGGTTTTACTCTTTTGAGTAATCAGTAATGTCAGCCTCCTGTTTCAAAAATATAGATTTGTAAATAATCTTGTTTATTTTATAGGAATGTAAACATCATTTATTGGACAGAAAACTTTTATTTACTTTTTAAAGCTTTTTTTTTTTTTTTAACCCATCTACTTGTTTACTTTCTTACAGAATGCCTATCTGGCCCAAGCTATCTGCGAATATTTTTCATCATATTCATAGTCACATTCTTGATTGGGTTGCTTAAAGTCCTTATCATTAGACAGGTGATACTGCAATGGAATAGTAATAAGATAAAATCCTCATCAGATTACAGAATGTCTGCTTCCAAAAAGGTTGGTGAACTCAGAGGGTAGCTGTATCTTACTCTCCAGTTCCAACACTCAGCTCCTTCACTAATATAACATTTCTTTTCCATCAAGGATAAACTAATTCTGAAAAGCGTTTGCACAAGAGCTGTAACCTACCGACGAGAAAAGCCTGAGGAGATAAAAATGGATATCAGCAAACTTCATGCTCATGAGGCTTTCAGGTGCAACTTCTAAAGACAGGTGAAACAAACAAACAAACAAACAAACAAGCACTGTTGGAAACTGGATTTTTTTTTTACACAGTTGCTTCTAAAAAGTATAAAAAGTCACAGGAGGAGATACATTATTGAAGATTGTGCCCCGAAGACTGGCGAGTGTCTCCATCACCATGTGACTCACCAGCTGCTGAAGTTTTCAGAGAACTATGTGTCTTACTACTGTGGAGGCTAGCGTTGTAGCACTTTACTGTAATGTGTGACTTATTTAGAGCAGCCTGGAATGTAGATTACCTGGAAAGCACTGATTACACTTTACAAGCACCTGCCATCCCGCACTTGCAGACACACACGATGCAATGGGACAGGTTGGCATGGCGTCACCAAGGATCACAGTGCGGTGATCCTTGCACACACAGAGACTGCTGATGGAAAGCATCCAGGAGTCAGCAACACCAACAATGGGCATTGTCTAGATGTGCACAGCCAGCTAAATAGGGGTTAGGATTTCATTTCAGTTGCAGGTGAATAGACCAACCTGAGTCCTAAGTGGTGTTGCTTTTGAAACTAAGGTTTGGTGCATGTGCAAGTCCATTTTCCTCTGTTTTGAAGAATGGATATTGACTTTAGCATTTTTTGCATTTTAATTCTATTTTTCATCATTTTTAATAAGTTTAAAATGTCACAGACGACTGGATTAAATAAGTGCGAAGTTACTACTGCCATAGAAACCTGTATGACAATGTCACTTTATTGAATACTGGTTTTCAAAGTTGAATGTTAATAAGGGTCACTGTAAAGTGTCATCTGGGTCCGTAGCTTCTTTATCTTTTTCTCACCTGTCAAACTGGATAAACTGTTTCATTCCCCCATTGATCTGACCTGTAGTCTGAAATCCACAAGGTGTCTAAAAATCTGCTTTAAGCAGAGTGACCTTTTTTCTGAGCATATTCTCTTGATTTTTACTCCAAATTGATGTCAACATTTTTCAAATGGAAAGCTATTTTATTTTTCTCTCCTGTGAAGTTTAAGGTCACCTTTGAATCATCCCAACTCTGCTCATGAGAATTCACAAAGGTATAAACCTGGAGAAGTGCACGTAGTATCTGAGAAATAAGCTAATCCCCCTTTTTGTAGGCCAGAGGTTGGAGGCCCAGAAAAATTAAATGACTTCCCAGAAGCACAGAAGCGCTGAGATGAAGTATTAGGGACGAGCTGCCTTGACATTACAGACCAGCACTGCCCAGTAGCACACTACCTCTTCGATCCGCAAAACACCCAGGAGAAACTTAACATATACTGGAGCCCTGAGTGTTTTTCATGAGAATACTTCAAAACAAAGTAGAACAGGGTACTCTGAATGGATGTGTACATAAGCAGCTCCTAGTTTTCCCTTAGCCACCTCCTGATGAGCTCTGGTGCAGCCCTTCCCCCACAGCAGCTACAAGAACAAGGCTCCTGTAGCTGGGCAGGGCTCAGCTTGAAGCCTTGATGCAGAGTCTTCGTACTTGAATTCTAACTTCCAACTGTCCTGTGTGTAGCACGTCTTACCTGTGAGACAGAGGAGTCTAAAGAAGTGTCTCTCCCAGGTTCACTGCTTTCCAGCAGTAGTTCTGGGAAGTTCTGAAAGCTCTAGATATCTGTATGTTGATGAAGACTGACTTCCATCAGGTAATACCCCGGGGCCTGGGAAGCCTGCAAATTATTCTCCAGCCAGCAAACAGTGCAAGTCCCTTAGCAGAGCAGTGGCGGTGATGCCGCTGACACTTCTTTAACAGGAGATGGCATCTTCAAACACTGTGACTGTTTCTAAGAAAGCTGTGGTCACTAACGCTATGAGGAAATCCTATTCTGCTGCTCAAAACATACAGGGTCCTTTTATAAATATAGAAATTAATGGATTCTTGGCAGTCCCCTCGAAAATGGAAGATATCCATTAACTAAATGCTGACAACTTAAATGTGAGCAGTTTATGAACAATAGATTAATTTTCACATGAAATGAGCAAAAGAGCATAATTAAAAACAATTCTCGAAAAGCAAGGATTGGTACTCTTTTAGGTCTTCACTAGTTTGCACTAATTTTAAGATGGACTGATACTGTTGCCACAGGAAAGACATTGCCAAGAGCTCAGTGCTGGGTGAGAAGATGTACTTACACGTGTACTGTCTTGTGGTTTTCCTCTCTCTTCTTTTTTGTTAACTTAAAGAGCTAATTCTTAAAGATTGTAGAGCTTATATTTTACTTGAATAATTGATGTTCTTCTGTTTAATAGTTTGTGAGAAGAGAATTAATATTTGACTAGATAGAATTACTTAACAGGTAATGGGAAACAGGGTATTGTTTGGTTAAATAACATATACTTAGAGAGTATTTCAAATGCTGCGACCACATCTTTTAAGCACTGTTGATAGTAAATGCAATGAATTGAATTTTAAATTGTTGGCAGAGAAACTTGAATGATGTTTTTGGCATTGCAGCATTCTGTGCCCTGATGTGTAATTATTCAAAAATGTCCCATTTATCCATTATATAAGCAACTATATACAAGTTTTTTCTTCTGAGACATTTTTACATTGCGGTATGCATGTATTTATAGACATTTGATATAATTTTTAGGCATTTTCTACTATTTATTAAGCTATAAACATTCTCTAAAAGACTTAAAAGTTCCTTAAAAATCTAATTATGTCCCACATGTTCAATTTAACTTAGTTTATAAAAATAAAAAAAAAAAATAGATGTCTCTGGAGGCGAATTTTTCAAAATTGAAAAATTAAAATTGTGTATACATGAAATGCAAAACTTCACCAAAGATTAAATTTTAAATATTTTTAAATATTTACTTAATCTCCATTGAAGATATTCTTGTATATATCAACAGTCTTCCATGAGACACTGAAATCATTTATTCTTGATAGATTATGAATGTTTTTCTCTGTAGAATTATATTTCTTCTGGCACCTGGTAGAATATATTATTCTCAATGGCTTTTCCTTTCTTTCCTGGCTCCTATTTGTCCCATCCATATTTTTCTAGAAATTGCCCATAAGCTTCAAGCCCATAAGCCTAATAGTGAAAAATAACAGTTTAATAATGTAATTGGGTTCTTCATTTCCAAAGATCTCTTGTAGTTTTTAACACTTATTTGAACAAAGACAGTCCCATTAAAAACAACGAATTTTAAAATTTCACAACTTTTTGGTTTATGTTTTCATGAAGGTAACAACTCACCAGGAGGGAAGTTGAATGGTGTGCATATTAATTCTCTTTGTTTACCTTAATACTTAGTTTTTAGCATCCTTATGTCCTTAAAAATATAATTTTATATAATGCAAACATTTTCAAAGGAATAGAACTATTCCTTCAAATTCTTTCCTTTTCATCTTCCATAATCTCTGCATGGAAAATTAGTTATGCATAACTGATTAGACACACATACTGTGTGTCTTGCTGATTGTAGGACACACTTTTTCAATTTAACATCTTCAAAATTGTGATGTCTCCTGAAATCGTCTTCTGCAGTGCAGTGTTTAAAGCTGTGGTACACTTCTTCAACTTGATTAAGTTTTCATAGGTGCAGTCCATTCCTTATAACTACTTATGAATTTGTTTGTGATGACATATAAAGCCAGCTTTTAATACAACTGAACCAAATCCCACTCAATGCAGACCTAACTGACTATCAGCTCAGACCCTTTGAATCTTCAAGTTACAAAAGCTCTTCAGGGTCCCATTTACACTTCTACTAACAACAGTGATTCGGGCAAACCGAAATTAGCTGATGAAGTGCAGAAGCTTCTCAAGGCTTTAAGAATCTTCAGTGTTCCCATACCTTTTGAAGGGATTGTTTAAAGAGATCATCTCACTTTCAAATACACTAACTGGAAAAAGATTATATGAAAACATCATAGTTAGAGTTCAGAGCACTTTGTATGCTTGATGTCAGTTACAAGAGAATGAAGTGATGCAGCCAGCTGGTTTGTGGGAAAGACTTCCTCTTAGATCACTCAACGTTCTCATTTTTCCTTATCCTTTATGTTCTTTTGATGTTTTCTTTGGCTCAAGTAACTTTCCTCTCCAACTCATGTGATGACTGTTATAAAACTGCATAGTTAAACTCTAGTACTTATGTGAAATAATTGTTCAACTCTCTGGGCAGCTTTTGATCAATCTGTGAGAGTGATAACACTACCCTATGTCTACCTGAAGCTCCTTCCTGCCTAGGATGTATCCCGTAAGCTAGTGCTTTCAACCAGGTGTATTTCTTCAAACACCCATTTCTGTACAACTGTCTAACACATCAGCATGAAAGAAAAAAGCACTGCAATCATCAAGAATGGAAATCATGTGGTTTGTGTAAAGAACTTTTACTGACTTTAGACATACAAATGTGATTCTGAAAACATGTCAACACAATGACAAGTATGGTACATAGATTTTTATTGAAATATTGAATAAAATTATTTTAATTCTAAATCATAAGTATAAATTTGCACATATTAATATACAAATTAATTTCTGTGTATATTTAACATACCTTTAGAGCTATTTTACATGTACTAGCTACTTTATTAGGTTTATAAATCTCTGCAAAAACAATTAGACATGTTTCTAAATTAACAATAACATAATCTTTGTTTCACTTAACAAATTCTGCCTTTGTAAAAAGAAATTTAATATAGAATGTATTTTTAAAACAAAATATTTGACTATAAAATAGCTCAAAGAAAAATTCTTCATGAACACATTTTGTGTTGTCTCTGGCTTTGAATCATATGAAAAGTGAAATTGCCTTAAATAATACAGATTGATAAATATGACAATTTCACATACTATACTATGAACCTCTTTGCATAACCGGTTGACTACTAACTTCTCTTTTATGTATTTATTAAAAGCTGACACTGTAGATTGTTGTGAAATGTTTATTTTTCTAACAGAGCTTATAACAGTTTGTGACAAGGCATTTAATTGATATACCAGTCTGTTTTAATATGGGTGTTAATCTATATAAAATTTTATGTTTTAAAATAAAACTTTAGAGATCTAATAAAAACATAGAGATATGTAAAATTGTTCTTTATTTTCCATATACTTCATGACCCTCTAAGCTCCAGGAAACAATATTGACACAGGAGAAAATGCGGCAGCACTCACAAGCTACCACTAACAGAGAACACTGAATAATCTTTAAAAGCTACTGATTTTAGGCTGTGAGGACCACTGAGTAAGAGTTGTGACCTCCTAATCTGCCCTTGCTCCTTTGGGTGGAACCTAATAATGGAAACAGAATATTCTAATGACAAAATATTAAAAAATTAATCAAAGCCAGGCATGTGGCACATGCCTTTAACCCCGGCACTCAGGGAGCCAGAGGCAGGAGGATCTTTGTAAGTTTGAGGCCAGTCTGGTCTACAAATAGAATCCAGGACAGCCAAAGCTACACAGAGAAACCCTGTCTCAAAAACAAACAAACAAAAATAGTCAGTTTTAAAACTAGCATTCGCTACCTTTAAGGTATTTCTACCATCAGCAACAGAACACATTTGACACAAACATCACACTACCAATAAAGTAGAAAGGGAAAGAATAAAACAGAATGGTAGAGAATGAATTAAGCACTAAGTACATCAGAGACTTTTTCTTTCAGGAGCTCCTAATAAAGTTAAGAGGTGCATGATGAACCTGTAGACAGAAGACACACATGGAAAGTTCAGAGAGAGGCTGCTAGAAAGTCAGTCTCACAGGCCTTCATTTTTGAGAATTTAGACTAGCCAGTCTTTGAGGGTCAGAGCTCCCCATACTCTGTTTCAGTCACATAATCTTCCTCCTGAGTTTCAATAGAGTACACTGAAGTTTCCAGACTCCTTCACAGCCAAAGGTAGATACAGTGAAAGGAAAGGAGAAGCTATGTTTGCAAATCTGGTTTTGCTTTCTCTTTTTCCTTTCTCATTGTCTAGGACAACTAGAAAAAAAACTGCCTTGGCATAGGAGACCAAGTCCTGAGACTGGCAGAGAGCCTCTTCTTGACCTAATGGTGCTCACTTCACTGATCCCTAGAAGGTCAACAGTGTAGTTATACCACTTGACATAACAGATACTTGTACTATACTAACTGATTCATTATATGATTGTATTCCTGAGAAACTTCACTGAAGTAAATATTATTTTCCCTAATTGTTCAAAGAAGAAAAAATGAGTGACAGTGAGATTCAGGAATATATATATATATATATAATGCATAAATGGCCAGGCCCAGTCTCCACCATCCTCAGGTCTTCTTTCCTTTTCACAAGTCTCTAACCACATGTATTTTGAGGATAGTGAACCAGTTCAGCTATCAGAGGCTCCTTTGCCCCTGGGCCCCAGAAGACATGTGTAATGAATAAAGTAGAAGAGCTGATTTGTGTAAACAAATCCTACATGAAGGGGGGTGTTGAAAGGCTGCGTATACTAAGATGCCACAAGTAAGGGGCACAGAAGACCTGCAGAAATAGCATTGACCTCACAGAAAAAGTGAACAGACATGGAGAAAGGGAGACCAGGAAATGGTAAAGAGTGAAAATAGGATAATGAAAGTCAGTGACCTACCAGTCCCCAGTTATGAAGAACTTGGTGTCAAGGATAGGCAGGCCACATTTCAATGACTAGGAAGCAGTAAGTGCTAAAAGGTAAATTGTGTTCTACTCACAAGTTTACCATAGTCATGTTCATTGAGAAAAAAAATAGGGTAAAATATCAAATATCAAGCATAGTTAACCTCAGTATTTAGTGGGAAAGATTCGTCTATTTTTAACAAAGATGAAAGAAGGCAGAGCAGAAGCATTTATGTTGGGAAGGTTTGGGTGAATTGATGATATGAGGGTGGCCATTTCAAACTATGACAAAGTAGAGTCCATAAAAAGCACATAGCTTTTCCGAGAAAAAGTAAAGATCCGAACAGAAGTACAAAGAGAGGAACTATTGGCTATCGCCTAAAGAGAATTTCCAGGAAGCTTGGGAGCCGAGATGACCTAGGTGATAAAGGAGTTACTCTGAGAGAAGTCTAATGCCAGCTCCAATAGTTGCTCCTGGCATCTGCCCAAACTAGATCAAACTCCCACACTGGTCTCACAAACCACAGTATTCTTGCCAGCCCTTGACTTGTAGACTAAATTCTGACATTATCAAAATATTTGGCCAGACCAAACTAAAGCAGAAAAATTTTAACCTACGTCAATGCTCACACTTTCAATGATTCGTAAAATACTCAGAAACAGCGATGTGTTTTAGTGCAGATATTGTGGTCTTACTTACAAGCAATTGTGCACTGCACGAAAAAAGCAAACGACACATGTATCCCCTGCAGCCCCCTGGGGCCAGTGCTGTTAGGACTTCTTCCAGCCTTCATCAGACAAGCCTTAGACCTGCCTGGGAAGAGGAAAATCTTTACTGGGATTTTTATACCAGGAGCTACATTGTTGTTATGCTTATAAACTCACTGTGACTACCACTAAAATAATGATAACAACTAACGTAAGAAAAACTCTTAATTTGCCTATACTTTTTCATGTTAAGTGCACTGTAATCTATGAGGCTCTGGCTTTCACAGAGGAACCCTTGGACCAGAAGCAGCATCAGCAGAAAATTACCCATTGACAATGCAAAGTTTTGGTATTTAGCTTAGTCAGTGTTCTACTGCTATGAATAGAGACCATGGTATTTTATTTTGTTTTGTTTCCTTTTGTTTTGTTTGTTTGTTTTTTGAGACAGGGTTTCTTTATGTAACCCTGGTTGTCCTAAAACTCATTCTGTAGAACAGGCTGGCCTAAAACTCAGAGAAAGAGCCACCTGTCTCTGCCTCCTCAGTGCTTAGATTAAAGGCATTCACTACTGCTGCACAGCAACCAGAGCAATTCCTATATAGGAAAACATTTAGTTGGGGCTGGCTTACAGTTCCTGAGGTTAAGTCAATTACCATCATGGTGGGAAGCATGGTGACAAACAGGCCAACATGGTGCTGAAAAGGTAGCTGAGAGTTCTATATCTGGATTGGCAGAAAGCAGGAAAAGAGAGACACTGGTCCATCCCTTTGTTGGCCCACCTCCAACAAAGCCACACCTACTCCAACAAGGCCACACTTCTAATCCCTTTCAAGTAGAGCCACTCCCTAATAATCAAACATTCAAATATATGAGCCTTTGGGAACATTCTTACTTTAACCACTACACTAGCCCAAATTTTCTAAGTTAGGAACTCTAGAAATGGGGTCCAGAAACATGCATTCAAGAACTCTATATGTAGTTTCAATGACTATCAACATTTAAGAATCACTCCAAAACACTGGAAATGGGCACCAGCAGACTCTAAGATATAGGCAGTTCTTCCCGATTTTACTTAGAGCAGAGCTGTGCTACAAACATCTGCTCAACCAGAGTCACATAGCCTTGATGGGCACCAGCCAATCCAAATCAAGGTCAGGTAGCCACAGCAGGAATTCCCCTTTCTGGCTTTAAAAGGGGCCTTTGAGCTCCCCTCAGGTTTCACTGCCATTTTGTGAAGGTGGTGACCCCAGCACGCTGGAATTCTCTGGAGAATTTTTTTTTTTGCGTACCATCTGGGTCTTGGGTCTTTCTTTGGCAATTCAAGAACCCTAACATTTCTATTCTGTGAAGTTTTCTTATTTTGGTAGTATCTCTACTTTATCATGGACTTGATAGTAAAAGTTCTCTAGAGGAAATATGTATTAGGGGAACATAAAAGGGGTGGGTGGTCTGATTAGAAATATAAATGGAAAAAATAAATCTGCCCAACTTAATTTTCCATGATACTCCAGCTCTGAGATTAAGCACCTACTAGGATTCTGCTGGTCATGGTGTTTTGTGTATCCATTTCTCTAGCGCCATTAAATTGAAATGGGTGCCAGCATAATTGAGCATATGCATTGTTTTAGAGGGAAAAATAACAATCTACCTTCTCTTACAAATGTTTACCAATTAAATAGAGTAGAGAGGACCCTCATGTTAAGACAGGTATCTTGAAGGACATACTAGAATAGGAGCTACAAAATAACTTGACCATAGAAAATATTACTCGGAAATGAAGTGTCATTCTTTACACTATCAAATGAAAGTCTCAGATTTTTATACATTAGATACTGCATTAATTAGGGTTTCTAATGCTGTAAAGAGACACCATGACCATGGCAACTCTTATAAAGAAAAGCATTTAGTTGGGGTTGTCTTACAGGTTTAGAGATTTAGTCCATTATTTTCATGGCAGAAAACATAGTGACACACAGGCAGACGTGGTGCTGAAGAAGCTGTACATCTGGACCTGCAGGCAGCAGGAAGAGAGAAACACTGGGCCTAACTTGGGCCCTTGAAACCACAAAGCCCACCCCCAGTGACATTCTTCCTCCAATTAGGCCACACCTTCTCCAATAATGCTACTCCCTATGAGCCTATGGGGGCATTTTCATTCAGACCATCACAAATACTCTGTGCCCTTTGTAATGATTATTGGGTTCAACCAAGTAAGTGTTACGAATTAGCCCTGGTGGTAAACTAGAGTTTTTCCTTGCTTTTTCAATAATACATTTATTCAGTAATTTGTTTTATTTAAATTATGAGTTTCTAAGGAACAAGAATTTCTCTGCTTTTTTGTTTGTTTGTTTGTTTGCTTGCTTGTTTGAGAAAATGTACCTTAATTAATTTTTATACATATTAGTATTTAATGCCTCAGGAAAAGTTTGGAATAGTAGAAGGTTGTCATAAAAATTCACTCTGTGTCTCTGAATGAATCAGGAATCAGACAGATAAATCAGGACACAGGATATAGGCATTGGTATCCAGCTGTCAGTCTGACTTGGGCCATTACTCATATTTACAAGGGTGCCAGGCTGAGAAGATCATCACCTGTTACATGCAGATTTTTAGAATAAAAGGAATTAAAATCCTAACTCCCTCCCTTAGGGGAGAAAAGGGAGGGAGAAGGTTGGGAAGAAGAGAGAACAACAACAAAAATGACAGATTTATTATTTTATTTATTTATTTACTTACTTACTTACCTACTTTTAGAA